AGCTCTTCAGCTCAAGGCGAGCGCTCTACCACTTGAGCTACAGTGCCACTTCTGGTTTTCAGGTGGTTTATTGGAGATAAGAGTCTCATGGACTTTCCTGCCTGGGCTGGCTTTGAACCGTGATCCTCAGATCTCAGCTTCCTGAGTAGCTAGGATTGCAGGCGTGAGGTACTGGCACCTGGCATTCAAAGGTCTTCCTTGAAACTGGAGACAGATGTCCAGACTCCTCCTTAGGATTTGTTTGTGCCATTCATTTACAAGATACAGACTTGTCTGTGGTACTCCTAAGTGCTTGTGGGGTGTCTGGTCCCTGAGCGTGTGGCATCCTGAAGAGGACTGTGGGCGCTGAGTACCGCAGCTCACGGACCGCATACCGCCTCCCGACCGGGGGCTCGGCCTTCCCTCTGCACCCCGGCCCACCGCCGCGCCTCAGGTCTGGTGGATGGCACCACTCTCCAGGCCTGGGACCCCAGTTTGGTTTGGAGACTCAGACAGACATGAGGTGTGGACAGCATCCTATATTTACAAGCGGCCAACAATCATTGTAGCCTTCCTGAAAAGCACTTTTGAAAGACACCACTTGGCAATGTTTGTGTCTCAGTCTCTGTTGGAAATAACAAAAATAATCTTTGGCCCGAAGAAAAACAGCACGCATGGAGAGGGGAGAGCAGGGGACCCAAACGCTGAGCTCATTTCCAAAGCAGATGGCTGCTGTCCTCTCCAGGGGCCACCGCGGGCCACCATCCTGCAGCCTGCCCAAAGCCTGCCCAAAACGGAGAGAGGCTCCCACGAGGAGGAAGGTGAAGCCTCCTTTCTAGCTGCCCAGGTCCCAGGGGTCTGCCGGCCCCAGCAGCGCACTGCACTGTCTGAGCAGTTCTAGGCACTCCTCCTGATGGCTGGGAGACAGTGTGATGGACGCCACTGGCATCTGCAGGCCCTCAGACACAGGTGTCCACAGCGCCTTCAAGGTCACTGGACTTTCCGCATGCCAGTGATGACCGGGACCCCAACATCATCCCAGCAAGAACTGGGGACAGCTGGGAGCCAGGGGGAGGCTGACATCTGAGGATCCAGGTTCAAACCCAACCTGGACAGGAGAGTACATGAGACTCTCACCTCCACCTAACCAGCAAAAAGCCAGAAGTGAAGCTACGGCTCCAGAGGTAGAGTGACAGTCCTGAGCAGGAAAAGCTTAGAGACAGCACCCAGACCCTGAGCTCAAGCTCCAGAATTGGCATGCACACACACAAATCTGGAATATTCTTTAGAGAGGCACGTGTCTGAAGCTCTGCCCTAGAAGCTTGCTGGTTGATTTCCGAGTTTCTTTCCTTCTTTTCCTCAGGATGTGGTGCTAAGATTTGAACTCAGGGCCTCTGCGCTTGCTGGGCAAGCACTCTGCTGTCAGCCATGCTTGTTGCCCTTTCAAGTTCATTTCTAGACCTCTGAACCACTACAGATGCAAAACCAAAATGGGCCAGTGGCTCACACCTGCAATCCTACTCGGGAGGCTGAGATCTGAAGACAGTGATTCGAAGCTAGTCCAAGTGGGAAAAGTCTGTGAGACTCTTTTTTTTGGGGGGGGGGGATGTCCAGTAGTGGGGCCTGAACTCTGGGCCTGGGCGCTGTCCCTCAGCTCTTCAGCTCAAGGCTAGTGCTCTACCACTTGAGCCACAGCGTCACTTCCGGCTTTTTTCTTTTTGCTTATGTGGTGCTGAGGAATTGAACCCAGGACCTCACGCATGCAAGGCAAGCGCTCTACCACTGAGCCACCTTCCCAGCCCCTGTGAGACTCTTATCTCCTATCAACCACCCCAAAGCCAGAACTGGAGCTGTGGCTCAAGTGGTAGAGCGCTAGCCTTGAGAAAAATAAAAAAAATGAAACTCAAGAACAGTGCCCAGGCCCCAAGTTCAAGCCCCAGGAGCACACACACACACATACACACACACACACACACACACACACGTGTTGACGTACACAGGCAAGCATGATGACAAGTCACAGGATTCTGGTGCGCAGCCTGGGACTCCTCGCCTGGACCCGTCACTCTATTCCTGGTCCTTCCTGTCCTCATTTGTGAAACAGAAGTAGTGTGGCCGCCTCGAAGCTGACCGCTGCTCAGTGCTTGAACAGCTGGCCTGCGGGGCTTCGTCTCCGAGCCCCACTACCGTCCAGTGGCCATGTGGTGTCTGAGCATATGGACGCGCTCTGCGCTCTGACACAGCCTCCCCGTCTCCCCGTTCTCCTCCTTTACCCTGGGAGCTGCGGGAGGGAGGAGGGGGGTCTGGGAGGGGCGAGTGTCTCCAGTGGGGGCAAAACGCCCACTCGGGGCACTGAGGAGACAGCCCTGTCCAGATTGAAGGGACAGCCCCAGGGCCTCACTTTCACAAACACAGAAGGGTCTCAGGGATGTGCGGACTTCAGGATGAAGCCATGCCAGGTCATCCCAGTGGGCCCTAAGTCCAATGACAAGGGAGAAGGCAGGCAGCTGTGGAGCCAGACTCTGAGGAAAAGCGGCTGAGAAGCCAGGGCCACTGCACCAGGAAGGACTGAGAGCCACAAGCTGGAGAGACTGGAGCCCACAGGCCTGGCAGCCTGAGGAAGAGCCAGCTCTGTGCGGGCCCTACGTGATGCATGCCTCTGGGCTCAGTCATCAGATGGAGGGCCTCTGTTACAGCAGTGGATGGAAGCTGATACCCCACAGAGGCGGCAGGCAGCACCTGTCCAGCCCAGAGAGGAGATGCCTCTGGGAGTGGGGAGCACTGGTCTGCCTGGCCCTCAGACCTTCCATCCCAGGTGGAGATTTGTTTTTCTGCTTCTCTCATGGATCCACATTGCATCATCGAGAGATCAGGAGCTCAGGGCTGCCACACAGCTGAACTCTGGTCCCACTGGGGGCAGAGGTCAAACAGCATCTCCACAGCAAGGTCCAAAGTGCAGCACCTCCTCCAGGAGCATGTCACAGAGCCCTGCACGGGCAGCGTGGTGCCTGGTTCCGAGAGGAGATGCTGGCAGCTCTGAAGTGCACCCTGGGTCCCTCTGTGTCCCTCAGACAGGCGTCAAAGCTAGAACTCGGGCGGGGAGCGTGGCTCAGTTGGGAGAGTACTGGCGTGGTATGGGTGAGGCCCATGGTTTCCATTGATCTTGTGAACTGCTTAGTCACAACATCAGGAAACTAAGAATCCACTCTTCCCAGCGGAGGTTTCCAGGCTTCTGGGGGAAGATAAATAACCACTCCATCCATCTAGGGTTTAACCCACTCTGTGGGCCCAGAGGGCATGCTGCCCCCTGCTGGCCAATGTGGGAACCGCCTCTAAACAGAGCCACGAGAGGCTCCGGAACCCCACTCATTCCCTGGGAGACGCAGTCCCCGAAACTTTTCAACGACCCATTTGTTCTGGCTGAGTTGCGTCCCCCTCCCAAGACGGTACATTCAAGCTCTGACTCCCCCAGTGCTGCAGTGACTTGATTTGGAAAAAGAGTCTTCAAGGCTGATCCCCTGAAGATGGGCCTTAAGGGAGACAGGAGAGGCAGCCACAGGCCAGCACCAGAAATCCCCAAGAGTTCCTGAGGTTGTGAGGCCCTGGCCACCCCTTGCTTCTGAACTTTGGGCCTTGGAAAGTGTGAGAAAGTTTCTGTTTTAAACAGAGAGCGTGGGGCGCTTTGCTGGGTGGCTGAGGACACGCACAGAATGCTGGGTTCATGTCTCACCCACTCAGTCACCTGTCCCCGCTTTGTTGCTGCTCTGATTTATGGGTGTTCAGGTCATTCCGTATGCCCAGAGGGCTCGGGCACCCGCGTGGAATCTGCCTCGCAGACGTTCAGGTCAGCGTCCTGGAATTGGCCCAGGCTCACACCTCCGTGTTTGCCACCCCCCGGAACGTCTCCACTCTTCCCCTCTACAGGATCTCCAGTTCCAGCCCTCCAGCAAATATTCTGCATGTGCCTTCATACGCACACACTCCCGCGCGCACACAGAACAGAACAGGACGACTGGGTAAAGCCGAGAACATAGCATCTAGTGAGCCCTGGTGAATGGCAAGATGTCTCCTGGGAGACTAAGTTTCTAGAAAGCCTGGAGAAGCATAAGAGGGGGCATGATGGGGTAGAGGGAGTCAGAAGCGACAGTAGACTGTCATCAATGCAGGCCCAGGAGGCAGTAGGGAGAGCTCAAAGGAGGGCAGCACTGGGACCAGCAGCTTTCGTGCTGTCTGTCTGTCTGTCTCTGTCTCTCCCGCTCCCTCCCCCCTCAGTAATGGGGTGTGAACTCAGTGCCTACGAGCTGTCCCCTTAGCTCGGTCACTGGACACGGCTCCGCTCCAGCCTTTTGTGGTTCTCTGGAGATGGGGGTCTCACGGCCTTGGCTGCGGGCTGGCTCCGAACCGCTGGCAGGCCTGCACCGCGGGCCCGCTCGCCTGCTTTCACCGAGATGGGCCGAGGGCCGGGCAGGAGCTGTGCCGGGACCCAGGCCGGGCCGCGCATGCGAGCGGCCGTTGCTCGCCCTCGGCCCGCATCCGTCCTGCGCCGGGGCTCCCTTCTCTTTGCCTCCAAAGGCGGCCGTGCGCCCCGATGGACGCCGGCGTCCGCACGGCCCCGGCCCCCAGCAGACATCCAAGCCTGCACGGCGGAGGGCCCAGGGGCGTCGCTGCCGGTGCCGGCCGGCCGCCCCCCCCCCCCCCCCCCCGGGAAACCGGGTCCGCGCGGGGCTCCGCCCCTTCCGCCCTGCCTCCCGCATCTCCCCGGCAACCGGCCTCGGTCCCACCCCCTCCAGATCCGTAAACAGGAAGTAGTTTGAGCGCCGTCGTTTCCGGCGATGCTAAGGTGGGGAGTGACTGAACCGCGGCGGGCCGGAGCCAATGGCGAAAGATGGCTGGGACAGAGCCAATCCTGGCACTCGGGGGAGCGCGGCCGTGGGCGGGGCCGCCAGGACGCAGCCAATCGCGGCGGGCCTCGAGCGAGGCGTGGCCGGGGGCGCGGCCGGGCTGACGGCGGCGGACGGCGGCCAGGACGGGGTCAGGCGGGGCCGGCGCGGCGATGCTGCAGCTGCGGGACTCGGTGGACTCGGCGGGCACCAGCCCGACGGCGCTGCTGGCGGCGGGCGAGGAGGTGGCGGCGGGCGGCGGGGCCCGGCCGGGATCGGGCGCGCCTCTGCGCCAGACGCTCTGGCCGCTCAGCGTCCACGACCCCACGCGCCGCGCCCGCGTCAAGGAGTACTTCGTGTTCCGGGTGAGCGCCGGGGCGAGGCCGGGCCGGGGCGGAGGCCGGGGCTCCCGGGGAGAAGCTGGGCCGGGCCGGCGCGGAGGCCGGGCCGGGGCGGAGGCCGGGCCGGGGCGGAGGCCGGGGCTCCCGGGGAGAAGCTGGGCCGGGCCGGGGCGGAGGCCGGGCCGGGGCGGAGGCCGGGGCTCCCGGGGAGAAGCTGGGCCGGGCCGGGGCGGAGGCCGGGGCTCGCGGGGAGAAGCTGGGCCGGGCCGGGGCGGAGGCCGGGCCGGGGCGAGGCCGGGCCGGGGCGGAGGCCGGGGCTCCGGGGAAGAAGCTGGGCCGGGCCGGGGCGGAGGCCGGGGCTCCCGGGGAGAAGCTGGGCCGGGCCGGGGCAGAGGCCGGGCCGGGGCGGAGGCCGGGCCGGGGCGGAGGCCGGGGCTCCCGGGGAAGGAAGGCCGGGGCGGGCCGCGTGGAGTAATTTCTGGCTCGGCCTTGCCCAGCCCGGCACCATCGAGCAGGCGGTGGAGGAGATCCGTGCGGTGGTCCGGCCGGTGGAGGACGGCGAGATCCAGGGGGTGTGGCTGCTGACCGAGTAAGCGGGATGGCGTGAGCTCGGGTGGAGGGGCGGGCCTGGCAGAGCGGCCGACCTGGCAGAGCGGCCGGCCTGGCAGCGCTGCCGGGGCACCTTCCTGGGTCCCCCAGGAAGGCCTCTACGTCCTGCCCTGAATCGTGGGCCCCGGTCGGCCTGACCATGGTCCTGAAGGGTGGGGGCCGTTGCGATAGCCCCCAACTGACTCGTCTTGGCCTCCAGGGTGGACCACTGGAATAACGAGAAGGAAAGGCTGGTGCTGGTCACCGACCAGTCGCTGCTCATCTGTAAATACGACTTCATCAGCCTTCAGTGCCAGCAGGTGGTCAGGGTGGCGCTGGGTGCCGTGGACACCATCTCCTACGGGGAATTCCAGTTTCCCCCGAAGTCGCTCAACAAGTAAGTACATGCAGAGGGCCCAGGTCCCCGGGTGTCAGGGCCTCCTCCATGCTCTTGTGTCTCTGCCCTCAGCTTCAAGGAGTAATGGAAAGGCCCTTAAAATAGAGGTTAGTGACTTGAGGGCAGCAGATGCCTCTGTGAAAGGGGTGCTGGCAGCAAACAGCCTCAGCTCTTAGGCCTGCAGTAAAATTGGTTTATGTGGTCTTTGATAGATGGAAGCAGAGCTGATATGTTAAAAGCAAACTTGGAACTTTCCCACATAAGCATATTCTATCTCCAGCCAGGAGAAAATTACATGGCCATGTTGTATTCCTTACTGGTAGATTTTTCAAAAGAAAAAAAAAAAGTAAGGTGATACTTTTTAATGTATAGATATTGCCAAAAGTTAGATACATCTGAAAATATCTCATGACTTATTTTTAGGAGCTGATCAATGCTTTAAGAGAGTTTTCTAAAATAAGAGAAATGTGTAGACATCAGCACATCGTCAAACTATAAAACTTAGAGATCTGGAATTCAGGGAATTCAGGAGACGGAGACTTTACCTTTAGAAAAGTTTTAGCCAACACTCATTAGGACATTACAGGGATGGCTGGGCACCAGTGGCTTACTCACACCTGTAATCCAGAGACTGAGAACTAAGGATCGTGGTTTGAAGCCAGCCGGGGAGGAAAGTGCAGATTCTTTTTTTGTTTGTTTGTTTGTTTGTTTTGGCCGGTCATGGGGCCTGAACTCTGGGCCTGGACACTGTCCCTCAGCTCTTCAGCTCAAGGCTAGTGCTCTAGCACTTGAGTCATAGCGCCATTTCTGGCTTTTTTTTTGCTTATGTGGTGCTGAGGAATCAAACCCAGGGCCTCATGCATGCAAGGCAAGCGCTCTACCACTGAGCCACCTTCCCAGCCCGGAAGTGCAGATTCTTATCTCCAGTTGCCCAACAGAAAACCAACAGTGGTGCTGTGGTTCAAAGTGGTAGAGTTGTTAGCCTTGAGAAAAAAAGCTCAGGGATTGTGCCCAAGCCCCATGACCACCACCACCACCAACAAAAACCAAAAACACTTGGGTAGATTAATATATTCCCGTTCATTTGGAGTTACGGGAGGAGGGAATACAAAGCCTTGCCGTGCTGTCCAGGCTGTCCTTGACCTCATGATCCTCCTTCCTGTCTCGGCCTCCCAAGTGGGATTACAGGTGTTTCCCATCATGCCTGGCTGTGAGTTTTTTTTAAAAAACTATGGAATGATTGACGAATTTGCATGTCATCCTTGCACAGAGGCCACGCCAATCTCCATATAGTTCCAATTTCATAGGCATATAAAAGTGAAGTTTGGTGTATCCAAGAGAACAAAATTAGTCACACCTAAGGAGTTCTTAGAGCAGTTGTTCCTGGAGATGTAGTGACCGCTGACATCAGCCGCTCTCTGTGGGGAGCCGCTCTGGCTGTCCCACGCTCAGCCCCAGTGCTGTGTGCACTGTTGACGGCCGTCTCTGCTCCCTCAGGCGAGAAGGCTTTGGGATCCGCATCCAGTGGGACAAGCAGAGCCGCCCTTCTTTCATGAGCAGGTGGAACCCCTGGTCCACCAGCGTGCCCTATGCCACTTTCATAGAGCACCCGATGGCAGGGGTGGATGAGAAGACGGCGTCTCTGTGCCAGGTAAGCAGAGGGCAGCGATGCCGCACAGCCCCCTCCCTCCGCAGTGACCCGCGCTGCCAGTCAGCACCATCCAGTGCGGTGCCACACGGCTGCTGAGCATGAAGTGCAGCTAACAGGGAGAACATGGCTTGCGTTTTGATGAGGGGCTGTGCTGTAAGAGGTCAGGCGGTATGCAGCCTGGGTGGTGCGGCTGCCCTCTGATCGTGGGGGATGAGGAGCTAGTATGGGCTCTGCAAGTTTGTGCTGCTCTCATCCTGCTGAGCACCGCGGTGAAGACTGCAGCAGCGGGGGGTCCCTGGGCTGCGGCCGAGGCTGCTCCCTCAGGAAGTGCAGTATGCCCATGGCCACTCCAGTCAGCACCAATGCGGTCAGAGCAGGGAGGCCACAGCGGACAGGGAGGGGCAGAGACCATGAGGCCCTCGCCTCGTGACGCCAGGCTTGTCTCAGGTCACATGGCCACACATTCCTTGATTGTTGGTGACAATGCTGGCCGAACAAACCTCACTGTAAATTTTGTACAGCACAATGTTAAGACTCCAGGTTCAAGCCCCAGCTCTGCACAAAAACAAAAGGTCCTCATAGCAGTGGTTACATACAGGAGGTATACTGGTAACACTATGATCATGCTGGTTTATGTGTTTATTATACACTCTAAGATTAGAGTATACTCCTTTTAACAGAAGCAGCTCAGTGCCTAGCTGAGGTACTAGGCAGGTGGCGCTGTCTGTCTCCCGGATTTCACACCCTGTGGTTACCCTGTGCCATCTTGCTTCTGCTGCCCATCCTTTGTGTGTGCTGGGGATGGGTTGTCTGTGATGCATTCCTTAGACCTCCCCCCCCCCCCCCCCCCCCCCCCCCCCCGTCATGATGTCACATGTGACTGTGGAGTTCAGAGGGGCTTAAATTCCCAAAATGCTACTTTTTCCATGTTATGGATGATTCTGGTTTTGCCTAAAAGTTAAAGCTATATTGTAATTTTTTTTCTGTCTCTCTTTAAAGCTGGAAAGCTTCAAGGCTTTGTTAATCCAGGCTGTCAAAAAAGCCCAGAAAGAAAGTCCTTTGCCAGGACAAGGTAACAGCGTGTTGGTCCTGGAGTGCCCACTCTTCATTGAGACCTATGTGGGGCTGATGTCCTTCATCAACAACGAGGCCAAACTGGGTTACTCCATGACCAGAGGCAAAATAGGCTTCTGAGTGTCAGCATGGTGGGCACACCCCGAGGCTGGCGGTGGGCTGGGGCGTGGGCCACAGGGGTGGGGTGTCGTGTAGGGGTCTGAGCACAGTTAGAATAGCCAAGTGGATTCTATGTATTTAGTCAGATGTCGGATGCCGGCTGATGTGAGCTTACAAAAGTATAAAGATGAGCTGCCGTGCCCCTGGTGTTCCTGAGTCCGACTCCACGTGCCCCAGGCTCTTGGTAGCCCCGCCCCTCCAGCATGCCCAGTGTGGCTTGTAGCCGTCCACCCCCGCCCCCACCCGTGCGGTGGCAGGGTCCTGGTCTCAGTGCCTGCACGACTGCACATGTTTACACTTGGCGTCAAGTTTTGTATCTGAGATCCAGTCCACTTTTTAAGCTCAATACGAAAGCAGTCAGCAGACTGGTCACGAGCAAGATGCAGCCTAGGCCTGCTTAGCTCCTAGTGAACAGCAGGTCTTGTAAATAAGTTCGGCTTAAAGTCATCCTCTTTCTAGAATCAATCCAGATTGTGTTAATAATTGTTACCTTGTCGAGGCATAAAAGGTTAGTCCTTAACACAACTTATAACTTGAGGGAGTCGCCATTGATCGTTATTTGCACACAATTTTGACAGCTAGATGTATCCTAAGTTTGTGTTCTATTCGTGTTTAAAGGGGGCTGGGAGGTTTGCTTATTAAAGATGCACTTTCATAAAAGGCCACATGAGATCCTCCTGGATGTCCCCCCCCACACAGCCTGTTCCTGCAGCCTCTGCATCGTTCCCTGTGGTGTCCAAGGCTGCATCCGCAGTGTCCCCCATCACCTGAGGCACTTAGTAAATTCAGTTGCTGCTGTCTGCGTCCTCATTCCCAGTGCTGTGGGCCTCAGGCTGCCAGGCTGGGGCGTGCAGACGGTGCACATGGGCTCAGCCCGTGCTTTGGTTGTGTAGTAAAGACATTTAGAACCACAGAGACGTTGCTCCTTTTTTGAAGTTGCTGTTGTTAAAATGGCACACCAGCATGTACGCAGCTCTGCAGGCCTGTCCGCTTGCTCTGGGGCGGGGATGCAGCCTGTCCTGCTCGCTCCTCTGTGGAAAGGCAGGCAAGTGGGGAGCACAGGTCCAGTCGTGAGTCCTGATTCACTGTGTGGAGCTCTGGCCTGGCTGCCTCGTGGGCACCTCATAGAGCTGCCCGGAGCTGGGCTGGACAGGCCAGGGGTGTCCCTCGCAGAGCAAGATCCAGGAACTCAGGACTCCTTGCATAACTGACCTGCAGACCAGGACAGCCTCAACCCGCTGCCCCTCGGGGGTGTGCCTCAGGGAGTTGGGCCCCTACTCCAGAGCAGACTGCACTGCAAGGAGCAGCCACCCTGTCCTGAGCACTCAGTGGCTGGAAGAGGACCTATAGCAGAGGGGCGCTGTCTCCAGCTCTGGGAGGAGCTCAGCAGGCGGGGTCTGCCTGAGTCTAAGCCACAGCGTGCCTGAGAAGGGAGCAAGGGTCAGTAGTTTTAGGAACTGACAAGTGTTTATTTTAAATAATGAAAATTACAGCGGTATACTATACATATTTACAGAAATCTTGCTACAGAAAAATAGAATCACATCAGCAGCCCGGAGTCTGGCTGGAGGGCTCCACAGCCTGCCCTCATGCGAGGTTGTGTGCAGGCTCTGCCTGGGGTCTGCCCAGGTCCTATGCGTGGCCATCCCTTTGTCCTAGGGCTGGGCTGACCCCCTCCTTGGTCTCCAGGAAACACAGGCAGAAGTGGTCCTTACTGAGGAGGGCCAAGGAGTCCCCACTTAAATGCCAGCACAGGGAGAGCACTGGAAAGTCACCTGGGGAGAGACACAGATTAGAAGAGCAAGAGGCCAGGATCTCGGTGAGGGCAGCTTGTGGGTGAGCTGTCCACAGCAGCAGGTTTCTGCAGCTGGGCTCCCTGCTGCCTGACTGCGCGGGAGGCTCGGTCCCCACCCCACCCCCAGACGCTCACCTTCCCCGGGCACCTGCACTGACAGGCAGCCCGCAGGGGACCACAGGTACACCTTGCTGCCCCCCGTGCAGATGGCCAGTCGTGGCTGCTGCGGGTCCCACCGGAAGGCGCGCACAGGGGACAGCTGCTCCAGCACCACGAACAGCCTCAGCTTCCGGATGTCCCACACCCAGACGGCGTTGGGGATGTTGTCTGCAAGAGAGCAAGCAACGGCATGGGGTCACGCGTGGGGGAGGCACTGGGGCATGGGGTGGAGCAGAGCAAACAAAGGCTGCCAGCCCCACAGGGTAAGCCCCACCCTGGACCCTGGCTCTTCCCGGAGGAGCCAATGGGAGTGAGCAGGGCGGCCGGGCCCTGAACTGACAGCAGAGCTGCTAGGCAGGACATTCGCTGTGTCAGCAGACCCACACGGCGCCCTCATCCTTGCTGGCTGTTTCTATGGTGATGCGGACAGGCTGTGAGCACACACTGACCGTTCCTCGTCGCCAGGAAGCAGCTGTCAGGGCTGAAAGCCAGCATCCCTATGCCCATCCTGGGGTTGGCCCTGTCGGCCACGGGCTTAAGGGTCTGCAAGGACACTGGCATCGAAGCAATCTCATCTGGAACACAGGAGGGAGGGAGGACTGAGGCTGCAGGAGAGGATGCAGCTCCCATTTCTAGTCAGAGGGAGTCAAACTCTGACAGGCTCAACCAGAAGGCGCCCCAGCTGGTAGGAGGCCTGCCCACGTGCCCTGGGGTGCAAGGGCGCCACCACACACAGGGCCTGCAGCAGAGATGGGACAGCGGTGGCCAGCCAGCAGCTCCCTGTCCACCGCCCCAGCCATGGTCTTGGCTACCCAGATGAGGGAATGTCCCCACCCCGCCCAGCCACTCAGCTCACGGTCTAGCTGGGCCCCACTCAGCCTCCTGGCTTTCCCGCTTCCAGCTATAGGAAGGGCTTAGTGGCGGCGGCAGGTGGTGGTCAGGTTACCACAGGCCCATGAGAAAGCCCTTCCTCCACCCCACTCTGTGTAGGCAGAGAGGGGCTCAAGCATGGGCCCCAGGCTGGCTGAGGCACCGGTGTCCAGCCCCTGCCCAGTCACCCTCCAGACACGGGGGGTTAATTTCCATATAAACGTTGGCCTCAGAGAACCAGCTGTCCCGAATGGATTTCCAGGGCTTTCAGTCAATAAGCAGTGTCTGGGTGTTCTGCGCGAATCCCCCTCGAGCCCCTGGAGATGGGACGGGGGCGGGGGGCGGCACAGGCTGAACACCAGACACCCAGCACCCAGCTGCTCAAGAGCGGAGGGAGGAGAGCAGGGCCAGGCCACACTGGAAAAAGCTACAGGACCCTCAAAAACAAAACAGCTGGGCACGGCTCAGGGGTATAGCGCCTGCCAGCAAGAACAAACCAGGTCCTGGGCTCAATCTCTAGTACAGAAAACAACAGATCTAAAATGCACCTGGAAAGAGGAACCATATATGCCACATATACATGCAGAAAACAAGCAAATTTCCTCCCACCCAGGAAGAGGAGAGTCGTGGGTGGGTTGCTCACACTTGCTCTCTGCAGCTGAGAGGTGACTGGCCACTGGGAGGGGCGGCAGGAAGGCCAAGTGGTCCAGCCCCGGCTGTGGGCTCTTCTTGGCTTCCTTATACACAACCTGAGAGACACAAGGAGGCCACCAACCAGTTTGTAATGGACTGAGAAGCCAGAGGATGTGGGGGCTGGCCGGAGGGTGCCGGGCACCCAGGCCTGGCATGGCAGCAGGATCTACCCTCACTAGGAGGAAGGGGCAGCAACGTGGCCCCTGCTCGGCCCGGCACCTCCCCAGGTCGGGTCGGCCCTTTAACGAGCGGGGCCCCTGCACACAGATGGGCGATGCTCTGTGTTCAGACAGTCATGCTGTGCTCCTCCAGACGCTGCCTCAGACCCGCCTTCCTGGTACTTCACACCCCCTGCGCCTCCTCCTCCTCCCATGTGGTGCTCAAGGGCAGCTCTGGGGAGGTCCTGGCAGCTCCTACCTTGGCCCGCAGCCCCCGCTGCTCACCGTCCTGGTCTGGGGCACCTCTGGACAGGTGGACTCAGAGAGGGAGGCAGCATCTGTCTTTGTCTCCCAGAAACCCGGCCAGCGTCAGCAGGTGGGGCGCGCTAACACTGCTGGACAGACACCAGGTGGGCCTTCCTCTCTGCCACGGGCCCCAGGCTGCTCCCACTGCAGTCCTCCAGCCCTGCTTCCCTGTCTGTCCCTCTGTCCCCACTCTGCAGAGGCAGCAGTCTGTCTGTTCTTTTCTGCCTAAGACCCAGAGTAGAGGCTGACACAACAGGTATCTAGAATTTTCTGGCAGGGCCCTGGTCCCCGCTGTAGAAAGCAGGGATCTGCAACAGGGCAAACCAAGAAGGAGACATGTGGCTGGGGTAGGCAGGGAAAGTACAGGCCTGTAGGGGCTCGGGGAGCCTGGTGACAGAAAATGTCAGGGGCAGCCACCCACGAAATGAAGGGGCAGCGCCTGCCCCAACCCCTCGCGCCTGAGCAGAGACCCGCAGGGCAGACTCACTATCTTGGGGTCGCTGAGGGCAGCAGGATGAGCAAGCTCAGTGAGCACCTTCCACGTGACATGATTAAGGAGGCGCACCTGGGGAAGGAACCGCGGACGTTGTTGCCTGTGCCACCACCCGGCCCCCCCGAGGTGGTCTGTGCCTTGCGCTCACTCTCTCTCACCTTCCCATCGTAGCTGCCCACTGCCAGGAATTGGCTGCTGGGGCTCCAGGCCACAGACTTGATGCCCAGGGACCATTCGTAGGCACAGTATGAAGACAGGAGCCGGCCGTCCAAGGAGTACAACAGAATCTTGTACTGCAGGGGAGGGCAGACATGCAGACACGTCACGTGTGCCTGGAGCACGGCACCGCTGAGGGCTGCAGCGAGACCCCGCTGCCAGCCGGGGTGACGTGGAGGACCAGGGCTGGGCCTCCAGTGTGGAGAGGTGCAGACTGGAACGAGCCGGGAGGAGGGAGGCAGCGCCCTGTCACCGCGGAAGTGAGGCGGTGTCTGCCCTCCCGCTGCTGTCAAGAGCGTCAGGTAAACGCGGATGGAAGCTCTCGGGCGAGAACACCCCACTGCATACCTCCAGGCAGGAGTCCCACACCGCCAGCACACAGCCGTTCGGCGCCCATTCGATCCCCACGAGATCCTGGGTGTCGGTGTCGAAGTGCTGCCAAGGGAAGACAGGGAGACCCCTTGAGGACTCCGACCCTGCCCTGCGTTAGGTTACAACGGACGTTTCTAATGTTCTACATTTAATTTTCGCACACAGAAATGTCTGCATCCTTCCCGGGAACTGTGTCTCAGGCCTGCACCCTGCGCAGGCATCACTGGCAAGGCCAGCCTGGGCTCTGCCTCCTGGCGCCCACCCGACAAGGTGCCCTGTGTGTCCCTGCACATCCCATGCATCCCCACCTGCCCAGCGAGCCTCACTCCTCAGAGACCACTGCTGCCTAAACCCTGTTCCGACACTGGTGCCTCCCTCCCTCCCTCCCTCCCCACGTGTCTCTAGTTATTGCATCGTGCTCAGGTTCTGCCATCTGCAGACACACGCACTTGCAGGGCAGCGTAGTCTGTGCTGCAGCCCCCAACATGTAGAGACCAAGCTTCGGTAGGGGTGAAGCTCAACCGTGTTCCTCCTGGTGCGGTGCCTATTTGTGAATGCAGTGCACTGATGGCTGTGTGTGGGGGGGGGGCACGGGAGTCCCGAGGCACCTGCTCCCTGCCTCCCGCCCCTGTAGCCTTACCCGAAGGAGCTGCCAATCACTGCATACAAACACGCTCACATAGTCCCTGCAGTCTCGCCGCTCGGCCAGCGCCAGATACCGGCCATCCCTGGTAAAACTTATTCCTGCCAAAAAAAAAAAAAGGAAGCAAAAAGTGTCAAACAAGAGAAAGTACAGCAGTAACTGCCAAGGAAGGACGAGAAAAACAAAGCAGAGGTCAAGAAAAGGAAGA